AGGATCCCCGGTGCTCCCAATAGTCTAGGCGGTTTAGATACGTGGCTTTCACCCACGCGACCCGGGTTCGAGTCCCGGTTTGGAAATTTTGCTTTTCCGCTCCTGCCGGCCTGCAGCTTGTTTTGCTTGTTTGGCCTGTTCAGTCCGTGAGATCGACGTTCCGGGCGCTGCATATCGTGCTGAGGGGGTCGTGTCGGCGTTGGGAGCGTGCAGAGGCATCCGATGAAGCCGACGCTTAGACGAGCTCCACGTGAGGCTGGTTCGCGGTTGTTTCGGACCGATGAGGCAAGCGCTGGCGACGGGGAGGCGCGCGCGGGCGTGGGCGGGCTGGGGGTGCGTATCTGGTCGGCGTGCGGGTGGTGGTTATGGCGCAAAGGGCGCGAGTTGCGTGTAGGGTTGGTTACGAGAAGTTGCTCCCAAATAGTCTAGGCGGTTAGGATACGTGGCTTTCACCCACGCGACCCGGGTTCGAGTCCCGGTTTGGGAATTTTGCTTTTCCGCTCCTGCCGGCCTGCAGCTTGTTTTGCTTGTTTGGCCTGTTCAGTCCGTGAGATCGACGTTCCGGGCGCTGCATATCGTGCTGAGGGGGTCGTGTCGGCGTTGGGAGCGTGCAGAGGCATCCGATGAAGCCGACGCTTAGACGAGCTCCACGTGAGGCTGGTTCGCGGTTGTTTCGGACCGATGAGGCAAGCGCTGGCGACGGGGAGGCGCGCGCGGGCGTGGGCGGGCTGGGGGTGCGTATCTGGTCGGCGTGCGGGTGGTGGTTATGGCGCAAAGGGCGCGAGTTGCGTGTAGGGTTGGTTACGAGAAGGTGCTCCCAAATAGTCTAGGCGATTAGGATACGTGGCTTTCACCCACGCGACCCGGGTTCGAGTCCCGGTTTGGGAATTTTGCTTTTCCGCTCCTGCCGGCCTGCAGCTTGTTTTGCTTGTTTGGCCTGTTCAGTCCGTGAGATCGACGTTCCGGGCGCTGCATATCGTGCTGAGGGGGTCGTGTCGGCGTTGGGAGCGTGCAGAGGCCTCCGATGAAGCCGACGCTTAGACGAGCTCCACGTGAGGCTGGTTCGCGGTTGTTTCGGACCGATGAGGCAAGCGCTGGCGACGGGGAGGCGCGCGCGGGCGTGGGCGGGCTGGGGGTGCGTATCTGGTCGGCGTGCGGGTGGTGGTTATGGCGCAAAGGGCGCGAGTTGCGTGTAGGGTTGGTTACGAGAAGGTGCTCCCAAATAGTCTAGGCGGTTAGGATACGTGGCTTTCACCCACGCGACCCGGGTTCGAGTCCCGGTTTGGGAATTTTGCTTTTCCGCTCCTGCCGGCCTGCAGCTTGTTTTGCTTGTTTGGCCTGTTCAGTCCGTGAGATCGACGTTCCGGGCGCTGCATATCGTGCTGAGGGGGTCGTGTCGGCGTTGGGAGCGTGCAGAGGCATCCGATGAAGCCGACGCTTAGACGAGCTCCACGTGAGGCTGGTTCGCGGTTGTTTCGGACCGATGAGGCAAGCGCTGGCGACGGGGAGGCGCGCGCGGGCGTGGGCGGGCTGGGGGTGCGTATCTGGTCGGCGTGCGGGTGGTGGTTATGGCGCAAAGGGCGCGAGTTGCGTGTAGGGTTGGTTACGAGAAGGTGCTCCCAAATAGTCTAGGCGGTTAGGATACGTGGCTTTCACCCACGCGACCCGGGTTCGAGTCCCGGTTTGGGAATTTTGCTTTTCCGCTCCTGCCGGCCTGCAGCTTGTTTTGCTTGTTTGGCCTGTTCAGTCCGTGAGATCGACGTTCCGGGCGCTGCATATCGTGCTGAGGGGGTCGTGTCGGCGTTGGGAGCGTGCAGAGGCATCCGATGAAGCCGACGCTTAGACGAGCTCCACGTGAGGCTGGTTCGCGGTTGTTTCGGACCGATGAGGCAAGCGCTGGCGACGGGGAGGCGCGCGCGGGCGTGGGCGGGCTGGGGGTGCGTATCTGGTCGGCGTGCGGGTGGTGGTTATGGCGCAAAGGGCGCGAGTTGCGTGTAGGGTTGGTTACGAGAAGGTGCTCCCAAATAGTCTAGGCGGTTAGGATACGTGGCTTTCACCCACGCGACCCGGGTTCGAGTCCCGGTTTGGGAATTTTGCTTTTCCGCTCCTGCCGGCCTGCAGCTTGTTTTGCTTGTTTGGCCTGTTCAGTCCGTGAGATCGACGTTCCGGGCGCTGCATATCGTGCTGAGGGGGTCGTGTCGGCGTTGGGAGCGTGCAGAGGCCTCCGATGAAGCCGACGCTTAGACGAGCTCCACGTGAGGCTGGTTCGCGGTTGTTTCGGACCGATGAGGCAAGCGCTGGCGACGGGGAGGCGCGCGCGGGCGTGGGCGGGCTGGGGGTGCGTATCTGGTCGGCGTGCGGGTGGTGGTTATGGCGCAAAGGGCGCGAGTTGCGTGTAGGGTTGGTTACGAGAAGGTGCTCCCAAATAGTCTAGGCGGTTAGGATACGTGGCTTTCACCCACGCGACCCGGGTTCGAGTCCCGGTTTGGGAATTTTGCTTTTCCGCTCCTGCCGGCCTGCAGCTTGTTTTGCTTGTTTGGCCTGTTCAGTCCGTGAGATCGACGTTCCGGGCGCTGCATATCGTGCTGAGGGGGTCGTGTCGGCGTTGGGAGCGTGCAGAGGCATCCGATGAAGCCGACGCTTAGACGAGCTCCACGTGAGGCTGGTTCGCGGTTGTTTCGGACCGATGAGGCAAGCGCTGGCGACGGGGAGGCGCGCGCGGGCGTGGGCGGGCTGGGGGTGCGTATCTGGTCGGCGTGCGGGTGGTGGTTATGGCGCAAAGGGCGCGAGTTGCGTGTAGGGTTGGTTACGAGAAGGTGCTCCCAAATAGTCTAGGCGGTTAGGATACGTGGCTTTCACCCACGCGACCCGGGTTCGAGTCCCGGTTTGGGAATTTTGCTTTTCCGCTCCTGCCGGCCTGCAGCTTGTTTTGCTTGTTTGGCCTGTTCAGTCCGTGAGATCGACGTTCCGGGCGCTGCATATCGTGCTGAGGGGGTCGTGTCGGCGTTGGGAGCGTGCAGAGGCATCCGATGAAGCCGACGCTTAGACGAGCTCCACGTGAGGCTGGTTCGCGGTTGTTTCGGACCGATGAGGCAAGCGCTGGCGACGGGGAGGCGCGCGCGGGCGTGGGCGGGCTGGGGGTGCGTATCTGGTCGGCGTGCGGGTGGTGGTTATGGCGCAAAGGGCGCGAGTTGCGTGTAGGGTTGGTTACGAGAAGGTGCTCCCAAATAGTCTAGGCGGTTAGGATACGTGG